GGGGAAAAGTTTGTTTAAACACGATACTCAACACGGGTACACCGCGGTTGTTTAACACTGATACTTAACAGTGGTACACCAATGGTTGTTTAACACTGATACTCAACAGTGGTACACCAGTGGTTGTTTAACACTGATAAACAACACTGGTGCACCAGTGGTTGCTTTATACAGTACTCACACGGTACAAACCAATGCTTGTTAATGCTGAACTCAACAGTGGTAAACCTTTGGGTTTAAACTTAACACTGATACTCAAACACGGGTACACCATGGTTGTTTAACACTGATACTCAACACGGGTACACCAGGGGTTTGTTTTAACACTGATACTCAACACTGGTACAAAAGTGGTTGTGTAACACTAATAATCAACAGTGGTACACCAGTACTTGTTTAGCACTGATACTCGACAGTGGTACACCAGAGGTTGTTTAACACTGATACTCAACAGTGGTACATCAGTGGTTGTTTAACACTTGTACTCGACAGTGGTACACCAGAGGTTGTTTAACACTGATAATCAACACTGGTACACCAGTGGTTGTTTAACACTGATATTCAACACTGGTACACAAGTGGCTGTTTAACACTGATACTCAACACTGGTACACCAGTGGTTGTTTAACACTGATACTCAACAGTGGTACACCAGTGATTGTTTAACACTGATATTCAACACTGGTACACAAGTGGCTGTTTAACACTGATACTCAACACTGGTACACCAGTGGTTGTTTAACACTGATACTCAACAGTGGTACACCAGTGATTGTTTAAACACTAAATACTCAACAATGGTACACAAGTGGTTGTTAAATTGATACTCAACACTGGTACACCAGTGGTTGTTTAATACTGACACTCAACACTAGTACACCAGTGGTTGTTTAACACTGATACTCAACACTAGTACACCAGTGGTTGTTTAACACTGATATTCAACACTGGCACACCAGTGGTTGTTTAACATTGATACTCAACAATGGTACACCAGTGGTTGTTTAATATTGATACTCAACACTGGTACACCAGTGGTTGTTTAATACTGACACTCAACACTAGTACACCAGTGGTTGTTTAACACTGATACTCTACACTGGTACACCAGTGGTTGTTTAACACTGATATTCAACTGTGGTATACCAGTGGTTGTTTAACACTGATACTCAACCCTGGTACACCAGTGGTTGTTTAACACTGATATTCAACTGTGGTACACCAGTGGTTGTTTAACACTGATACTCAACACTGGTGTCATGTAGGGGGGTATCAGAATGAATCGGATATAAGTGGGGAGTATGGGAGTAAGGGATTATGTAGGGAGGGGAGAGGCAGGCAAGGTGGTAGGAGTGAGATGATTAGCGGAGGTAGGTAGGTAATGACAGGTCAGTGGTGAACACCACGACACTCTCATTAACTCTACACTACTCACTAACATATGCCTCGCTCATTCTTCACTCATATAAACATAATAATATATGAGAAATAGGAATAGCTAATAACGGGGACAGTGAATATTACTATTCTACTCAAACACAGTTTATTATTAAGTCTTTGTACAATAATATATTTGGGAACAGAGCATTATTGTGGTTTAGATAAATGGGGTGGTACACATAAGCAGTGAGACATGGAACACAATCAACTTGACCAAAATGAATATAACTTACAATATAGCACAGAGCACAGTTCCTACAGGAACTAAGCCACAGGGCCCAAGACCTATACAGCACGAGTACGCGCCAAGCCAGTACTCTGCCCAATGCCTCCAACAGTCTCCTCCGAGACTTCAAACAGCCTTCTCCCGACCCTGCACCCCAGCAGCAGCTCCGCTCGAATCCCCTGATCATGCTCTTCCTGGGCTTTTATGGTGGTCCCAAACACCCTCCACAACCACGTGTACGACCTAACGCCTAGGTATGAGGCGTCAAGACAAAAGACCTCAGACGAGGGCTTGGCTACCAGACGTTTGCCCAAGGCAAGTGTGACCATAAAATTGGTTAAATTAGTTCCCCGCCAGAGACCTCACAAAGCCCAGCTGGACTACATCACATCCCCCTTTTTTCTCCCCCAATTAAAATTCGAGAACTTAGACAATTGTCCTATTATTAGACTATTTTAATCCTAATATCCTAAAATCTATTACAATACAAAGACAAAATTATACATAATACAATTATATTTCCCTCAACCTCCTCAACTACCACAAGGCAGCATAATCAGATACCTCTGAAGTGGCCAGCATAATAGTCGCTCTCTGGTGCAAAGCCTCCTTACCCCGTTATTTCTCCTAAACCTAAATAACGGGCCCAGTGCCTCCCTACTTCTACTAGAAATGCACATAGCCAATGCTAGTCACACCCTCGCACGATAACCATTGGTGGGTCCAAAACCTCCTAGGAGGCTTCTATGGCGTGGAAAACTGCTCCAACGGTTTGCATTCTTTCCAAGTAACTGCAACTGACCACTTCACGAACCACCAAGGTCGCATTTTCGGCACACTTCACATGCACACTACAACATCAGATAAACGAGACAGGGCAGGCAATCGCAGCTAAACCCTCCATTAACTAAGCCACTACTAGGATTCACTGGCCTCATAATACAAGGCGGCATAATCAACTGGACCGTTTCAAGGTCACCATATTCCCCACAGGTAACAACTAACACTTCTGGAAAGTCCAAAGTAGACTGGGGACATCTCACACTCTTAATTGTTCTCTCATGGCTGGCAGGCATCCCCGCATACCTGTCGCACAGGTCGACCATCAAGGCAGGACACACCTCCCTGCCGCCCTTGAAAGCATGCCTGGGACGCCAGCAGGCATGAGTCCATCTCCGCGGCTCACGTCCATCCACAACTCCGAGTATGGCAACTCCATCATAGTAGATTCTCCTGTCCTGGCACACCGGCCAGAATCCCACACACAACCAATGCAAGCATCACGCCCCTCCTCATGGAGCTAGGAGCAGCATCGCAGCATCACAGCAGGCCACAGCAAAATCCATCCATCACAGCACGGCGTATCACAGCGAGCAACATAGCAGGCCGTATCACACAGCACCCAGCATGGCCGACAGCATCGCAGCAGCACGCTACCGCAATAGCAGCACGTTCCCAGCACACAGCGCGGCCGGCAGCGTCTCAACATCACAGCACGCCGCAGCAATCTCAACATTCACAGTCAGCCACAGCACTGCCACAGCATTGCAGCAGGCTACCGCACTCAGCACGCCACAGCATAGCGAGCACAGCACGGCTACAGCATCTCAGCAGCATCTCAGCAGCATCACAGCAGCCGACATCACATACAGGCTATGGTCAGTTGCTCGAGTGAGGTGATGTCACTTCAGGTCATCAACACAGGCGCGGTCACCCAACCCTGCAACTGGGGGTAAACTGCGGTCCTGTGTGATGTCACAGAGGCTGGGTGACGCAGACAGACACCCACTACACTGGATGACAGACCAGGTGCAGCAATACATCTACTGGGGCACCATCAGCTGGGTGAGTGGGCATATCACTGGGTTACTGGAACATCAGTGGACAGCAATCATAGGCAACTCTTCAATGGGGTGACAGTTGTGGGTAAGTCTTCAAGCGGGCTGGTGACTCTCATTTCTCTGTAAATATTCAATTTCGGCCAGTAATTGCATCCCCCAACAGTCTCACCCAAATACTGAAATTCTCCCATTTATCTCAAACCAACAACCAACTCCACCAAATATAATATTACACCCAAACAATTATTTAGACCCACCGTCAAAAAGGGACAGTTAAGGTCACTAGGATATAATATCATACAGATATTCACATTCGATTTTCAATACACACTACACGAAAAAAAAAAGTGGTATCGCAAATGGTAGCATAACAAGTGTAACCCAGAGGCATCAAAAATAAGGCAACATGGAACTGTTCCTACTATATAAAAATAAAAGCACCACCAGCCGATTAGACACCATTCAAGTAGGGGGGTAATGATTGAACAGGATATAAGGGAATATGGAGTAAGGGGATTATGTAGGCAGGGAGAGGCAAAAGCGAGTGGTAGGAGTGAGATGAAAAAGCGGAGGTAGGTAGGTAATGACAGGTCAGTGGTGACCACCACGACACTCTCATAATAACTCTACACTACTCACTAACAAATATGCTTGCCCATTCTACACGTCATATAAACATAAAAAAATAAAAGAAAAAAGAATAAAATGACGGGACAGTGAATATACTATTTCTACTCCACACAGTTTATTATTAAGTCCTTGTACAATAATAAATATGGGAACAGGAGTAATATCATTGGGTATAAAAATGGGGTGGTACCATAGCATGAGACAGGTAAATACCATCAACTTGACGAAATGAATAAACTTACAATAAATAGCACGAGACAGTTCACTACAGGAACTAAGCCAACAGGTTCCCAATACCAACTACAGCACGAGTACTGCCGCCAAGCCAGACTCTTGCCCAGTTGCCGTCCAACAGTCTCCTCCAGAGACTTCAGCATCCCCTTCTCTCTCCCAGCCCTGCAAAGCAACCCAGCAGCAACTCCTCTCGAAATGTCTCTGCTCAGAGCTGCAGCACCCAGGCCAGAGCCTGCCGAATCTTCTGCTCAGGAAGCTCTGGCGCCCCAAACAGCGCACCGCCCATTCTCATGATCATGCTCTTCCTTGGGCATTTTTTATGGTGGTCCAAGCACCCTCCACAACCACGTGTACGACCTGACGCTAGGGTCATCGGCTCAAGAACAGAAGACCTCAAACGTGGGCGTGGCTCCAGAACGTTTGCCAAGGCAAGGTGTGGACCATATAATTGGTAAATTAGTCTCCCCAGAGACCTCACAAGCCCAGGCGACTACAACACAACGGTACAACCAGAGGTTGTTTAACACTGATTACTCAACACTGGAACAGCTAGTGTTGTTTTAAACTGATAATCAACACTGGTACACCAGAGGTTGCTTAACACTGATACTCAACACTGGTACACCAGTGGTTGTTTAACACTGATAATCAACACAGTACATACCCCATAGGTGTTTAACACTGATACTCAACCTGTTTCACCATGGTTGTTTAATACTGAAATCAACAATGGTACACCAAGAGGATACTTAACACTGAAACTCAACACTGTACAGCCAGTGGTTGTTTTAATACTGATAATCAAACGTTACACCAGAGGGTGTTTAAAAAACATCTGATAAACAAACATGGCAACACCAGTGGATAATTAACACAGATACTCCACCCTGGTACAACAAAGTGGGTTGTTTAATATGATACTCAACACTGTACATCCAGTGTTGTTAAACCTGATACTCAACACTGGTACACCATGGTTGTTTTAAAACTAATCTCAACTATGGTGCACCAGTGGTTGTTTAGACTCTGAAACACAACACTGGAACACCAGTGGTTGTTTAACCCTGATACTCAACACTGGTACACCAGTGTTGTTAACACTGATACTCAACAATTGGAAAACCAGTGGGTTGTTTTAACACTGATACTCACAGTGGTACCCAGTGGTTTGGTTTAACACTGATACTCCACACTGTACACAAGTTAGTTTAATATTGATACTCAACACGGTACACCAGTGGTGTGTTTAATACATGATACTCAAATATAGTGCACTCAGTGGTTTGTTTAAAACCTGAGTACTCAACAATGGTACACCAGTGGATGTTTAAACACTGATACTCAACAGTGAACACGAGTGGTTATTAACACTGATATTCAACACTGTAACACAGTGTTGTTTAACACTGATACCAACAATGGTACACCAGTGGTTGTTTAAACTGATACAACTCAATAGTGGACACTAGTGTTACTTAACACTGATATTCAACACTCGGTACACCAGTGGTTGTATAATTCTAAAATCACTGATACTCAACACTGTACAACCAGTGGTATTTAACACGATACTCAACAATGGTACAACCAGTGGTTGTTTAACACTGATACTCAACAGTGGTACACCATGTGGTTGTTTAACACTGATACTCAACACAGGTAACATGTGGTTGAAAATATTGATACTCAACACTGGTACACCAGTGGTTGTTTAAATACTGCTACTACAAATATATTGCACCAGTGTTGTTTTAAACATATGGGCTGATACTCCAACAATGGTACAACCATGGTTTTTTAAAACAGAACTCAACAGTGGTACACGAGTGGTTACTTAACACTGATAATCCAACACTGGTACACCAGTGTTGTTTAATAAACATGATACTTCAACAGTGTACATCCAGATGTTACTTTAACACTGAATATATTCAACACTGGTACTCCAGTGGTTGTTTAAGCACTGATAAACAACAGTGTTGCACCAGAGGTTGTTTAAAACACTGATACTCCAACACTGGTACAACCAGTGGTTGTTTAACACTGGATATTCAACACTGGTACAACCAGTGGTTGTTTAACAACTGATACTCAACACTGGTACACTAGTGGTTGTTTTAAATACTGATACTCAACCGCTGTACACAGTTTGTTGTATAACACTGATACCCCAACATTGGTACATCATGGTTGTTTAAACAATGATATTCAACCGTGGTAACACCATGGTTGTTTAATATCTTATAGTTAACACTACCTGGCACACCAGTGGTTGTTTAACACTGAACTCAACATGTAAAACCATTGGTTTTTTATCACTTATACACAACAACTGGTACACCATGGTTGTTTTAACACTGATACTCAACAGTGGTACACCAGTGGTTGTTTGACACTTACACCTACAGTGGTCCACCATTGATTTGTATTTAACACATGATACTCAACACTGGTATACGCCATGGTTGTGTATCACTTATAACTCAACACTGGTACACCAGTGGTTGTTTAACACTGATACTCAACAGTGGTCACCAGTGTTTGTTTGACACTGACACTCAACGTGGTACACCATGGTTCTGTTTAACTCTGTTACTCAACACTGGTACAATCATGGTTCTTTACACTGATAGTCACAGTTATACACCAGTGGTTGTTTAAACACTGATACTCAACACTTGTACACCCGTGGTTGTTTAAACACTGACATTCACAGTGTACACCAGTGGTTGTTTGACACTGTTACTCAACATCTTACACCAGTGGTTGTTTAAACTGACAACTCAACAGTGGTACACCAGTGGTTGTTTAACTCTGTTACTCAACACTGGTACACCAGTGGTTGTTTAACAATGATATTCAACAGTGGTCGCCAGTGGTTGTTATAATACATATACTTAACACTGGGGGCACACCAGTGGTTTTTTACACTGATACCTCAACACTGGCACCCAGTGGGTTGTTTAAACGATAGTCAACACTGGTACACCCAGTGTTGTTAACAATGATAATCAAACAGTGTACACCATGGTTGTTTAACACTGATACTCACCACTGGTACACTGAACATTAAAATGGTATAGAAATACCGACAGGTTGTTAGGTAAGACACATATGGCAACAGTTAGGTCATCTTAGTATGAAACGTTTTCGCCTACACCAGTAGGCTTCTTCAGTCGAGTACAGAAAAGTTGATAGAACAGACGATACTTGAAGACGATGTAATCAGTCCAATCACACCTTAAAGTTTTGAGTGGTCGGTTCCCTCAGTCAGGAGAAGAGCATTGTTCCATAGTATGAAACAATATGGATATGAAGTGACAGATGAGCTTTAATTAGCGCCAAGAAAAAGGGTGGGGGGAGACGAAGGTCACTAGAAAGAAGGTAAGAACTCAGATTATAGAGAAGGTCAGGTCCCTCACAAATCCACCGCACTCACTAGTGAAGTTGTCGGACAGTTGATTGCAGGGTCTTGTACCAAGATACCCTGTGTACTGTGTCTGACAGATTGAACATTAAAATTGTCTTACTCACAACCTGTCTGTATTTATACCATTTTAATGTTCAATCTGTCAGACACTGCAACACAAGGGTATCTTGTACATACCTGCAACAACTTCGACAAACTTCCTTTTCCCACTAGTGAGAGCGGCTGGATTTGAGAGGGACCACCTCTCAAACATCTGAGTTCTTACCTTTCTAGTGACCTCCGTCCTCCACCTCTTGGCGCTATATAAAGCTCCATCACTGTCACTTCATCTCCATATTGTTTCATACCATGGAACAATGCTCTCTCCAGACTGAGACTGACCACCTCAAAATTTCTTTAAGGTAGAATGGACTGATTACATCGTCTTCAAGTACTTCGTGCTTCTAGTCAATTTTTTCAGTAACTCGCACTGAAGAAGGCCTCTGTGTAGGCGAAACGTTTTCATAATAAAGATACCAAACTGTTGCATATTGTCCCTTACCTAACAACTGTACAACTGAAGAAATACTTCCTAACATCGATGTTTGTGTGTGTTGAGTGTGTGTGTGTGTGAGGTTGTGTGTGTGTGTGGTGTGTGTTGTGCGAGTGTGTGTACTCACCTATGTATCGACATAGTTGAGGTTGCGGGGGGCGATCCGAGCTCCTGGCCCCGCATCTTCACTATCGCTACTAGGTCACACTCCTGAGCCGTGAGCTTTATCATACCTCTGCTTAAAGCTATGTATGGATCCTGCCTCCACTCATCGCTTCCAAAACTATTCCACTTACTGACTACTCTGTGAGCTCAAGAAATACTTTCCAAACATCCCTGTGATTCATGCTGTGTCTTCAGCTTCCAACTGTGTACCCTAGTTACTGTGTCCAATCTCTGGAACATCCTTCTTTGTCCACCTTGTCAATTCCTCTCAGTATTTTGTATGTCGTACATGTCCCCCCTATCCTCATCCTGTCCTCCAGTGTCGTCAGTTGATTTCCTTAACCTCCTCCTCGTAGGACATACCTCTTGGCTCGGGACTAAGTCTTGTTGGCAAACCTTGCACTTTCTCTAGTTTCTTCACGTGCTTGGCTAGGTGTTGGTTCCAAACTGGTGCCGCATACTCCAATTGGGCCTAACGTACACGGTGTACAGGGTCCTGAATGATCCTTTATTAAATGTTCGGAATGCTGTTCTGAGTTGAGCTAGGGCCCCCCATATGCTGCAGCAGTTATTTGGTTGATGTGCGCTTCAGAAATGTGTCCTCTGGTGTTATACTACACACCCCAAGATCAATTTCCTGATGAGGTTTGTAGTCTCTGACCCCCTAGACAGTACTCCGTCTGCGCCTTCTTTCCTTCCCTCAGTCTTCTATGACTTTGCACTTGGTGGGATGAACTCCAGGAGGCAATTGCTGGAACCAGTCAGCCGCCTGACCAGATCCCTTTGTAGTTCTGCTTCGGTCTTCAGATCGATGAATTCTTCTCATCAACTTCACGTCTTCTGCAAACAGGGAAACCTCAGAGTCCTATTCCTCCGTCATGTCGTTCACAAATACCAGAAACAGCAACTGGTCCTAGGACGACCCCTGCGGGACCCCGCTGGTCACAGTGCCACTCTGACACCTCGCCACGTACCATGACTCGCTGCGTCTTCCTGAACAAGTATTCCCTGATCCATTGTAGATGCCTTTCCTGTTATCCGCTTGCTTGGTCCTCCAGTTTTTGCACCAATCTCTTGTTTGGAACTGGTGTCAAACGCCTTCTTGCAGTCCCAAGAAAATGCAATCCACCCAAACCCTCTCGTCTCTTGTCTTACTGCTGCCACCAAGTCATAAACTCCATTAGGTTTGGTGACACAGGATTTCCCAACCCTGAAGCCATGTTTGGCTGCTGTGATGATATCGTCTCCTTTCTAGGTAGTACCACCCCTCTGCTCCTGATAATCTTCTCCATGATTTTGCCATACTTACATGTCAGTGACACTGGACTGTAGTTTAATGCTTCATGTCTGTCTCATTTTTAAAGATTGGGACTACA